TCATCGGGTTCAAAGCCTTCTGGTGCTGCTGTGGGAGATGTGAGTCAGCAGCGAGGCTGGTGCCCTGGAACCGGAACCGCCTCAACTGAGGGCCTCCTCGGAGGGCCTGTGGACCTTTGTCCCTCCGGGCAGCCTCGGTGGGGGACCAGCGCCCCAGTCCCCTTCCCTCAGGTGTCGAAAGGCCTGGTGCAGGTGAAGACGGCCTCGGACACTGTCCCTCCCTGCTTGGCAGTCGGCTTCGTCCTACGGCAGAAACCACAAGCAGAGCAGCGTCCTGCCACGGCAGAGCTGGGCTGTGCCTTCCTTGCTAGCCCGGTATTGATCCCCTCACGCTGACCTGGAGGCTTCGACCCTCCACCGTGAGCGGGGCAGCAGGGTGGATCCAGGCAGAGGCCAAGGTCTGGGTGTCTGGCCTCCGCCCGCCCCAGGCTCCGCCGCAGCTCTCGAGGTGGACATCAGACCAGATACTCACGTCCTGCGGTGCCTACTGTGGGAAGAGACTGAAGAGCACCTGCAGTTTTCTCACCGCCGAGTGGAGGACATGAGACCCGGGAGGGAAAAGGATCGCCCTGGGCCCCTGGGTCTGCACGTCGTCGGGTGAGGCCGGAGCTCAGATCCCCAGCCTTGAGTTCTTCTTCGCTCTGCTACACCACCGCAGCCCTTGATGATACAGGGGAAGAGATGGGGCTCCCAAACCTGCTAGAGACCCGAAACGGGAGTTTGAGTTCTCTAACATCCAAGAATGAGTTCTGGGAACAATGGGGGTTAAGAGTAGGAAAAATGTGTTGAGGGAAAGAAAACTTCCGTCTAAGAGACGCAGAAGGGGGACCGGAGGTGGGCTGACTGCTCAGCCCACTTCTCCACGGTGTTTTGTACAGCACAGCCACGTGGGGAGGAGGCTACAAAGTGGGACAAAACTGTAAGACCCAGTGGAAAATTACAAGGCAACCAATAAGTTCACAAGTAGTCACCCAGGTAATATTGATTAAATGGGGGTCAAATGGGGAGCAAGTCACATAGCAAGTGTACAAGGGTTTTCAGTAAGGGTAGGGGCCAGGGATAGTTCCTGGAGAGGCTGGGCTAAGACCTTGGCCCCCCACCCAGATAACTGATACCTATTTAGAGTATCAATCACTGCTATTTATCCCCAGGGGAAGCACAAGGGTTAGAAGCTTTTCTCCTTTTACATTTCTGGCCACAGTGAAAGTGTCTTTATTGTCCTCCATGTTGGCTCCTTGCTGTGTTGGCTCCTTGAGGTCCGGCATCTTGAGGGTGGCCCTAACTGCATGCAAGATATCTAATTAACTTACCTGCCTGTACTATCACCACCTGAAGTTGTGCAGTGCGCAGACTAGGCAGCCAACCTGTGCAATGGTCCTTGGCCAGAATAACAAATCTTTCTCACTGATGGACCGAAAGACAAAAATGGAGAGGGAGGGATCACGCTTGATTCAGTCACCAATAATAGAAAAACTGTAAGTACATAATTTCAACTTTCTGGACCTCAGTTTCCATGAGGATCAGATTAATGTCTGGCTGAGTCAGGAGTGCTGCACCCATCTCTCCTGAGAAAGCTCCGAGGCCTATTAGGGCTGGAATAATCCGCCCCCTCGGGTGTGTAGAGGTCTGACCTTAGACAGATAAACTGTTCCTCTCCAAACCTCCTCAGCCCTGACTCCATTGCCTCAGCCCCTAAAGCACACAATCCCAAGACTAACATGTGGCCAATAACGATGTGCCAAATATCCAGACTCCACCCTGGCTCCAACCCCGCCTTACCCTATATAAGTCTGTGCATTTGCTGAATAAAGCAAAAGCTTCCAGAAATCTCCCGGAGTCTGCATGGTGTTTCCACCGCCTTGCCTTCCCAGTCTCGGCCCCCTGAACTCTGTTTCATGAGCGGGCTCTTAGAGGAAAACATTTCCACACCTGTGAAATGGACAAGTTAGTGCCAAATTCTCCAGGGCTAAAATTATGTTGACCGGTTGCACCTCTCTGTTCCTTTTGCCATAACAGAGAGGACTGTGTCCCTGGAACCAGAACCTGGGGTAGCATTTTGTGAACTCTTTTGCCTGTGAGTGGCTCGTTTCTCAGGAAGAATTCTCCTAACATAGGGCCGGAGTTGCCAGAGATGGATCTGCCCCAGTGCAGCACAGAGCCTTCGAGCAGCACCCCAGAGCCTTGGCTGGAGTTGAGTCAGTGGCTTCTCCCTCTAAAAGCGGGTCTGGCTGCACCTGCACCCGGAGGGGACCCCTCCTTTGTCTTCAGAGAAGCGACTTCCTCAGGGAGCTGAGGGCTGATCACAGGCTGCCTCTGGAGCCAGGGAGCAGCGGAGGGTGCCATCTCCCCACGTCTGAGCCCCGTGTCCTTTTCCGAATCGTCCAATCTTGTGATCCTCCTGGCATGGCTACCGCTAAGGGAACGCTGCCAGACCAACACCGGCGCCAGCCCATCCCCTCTGGAAAACGAGTCTTGCCCACAGAAGTCTCTCCTAGGACATTAAGCTGAAAAAAGGAGATGATCGGAGTCCTTTTATACATTCAACAAACAGTTTCATCAGCTTCCCTGTGACATGTCTGGAACACACAGCTCCCTACCCTTCTCATGAACTTGAAATAATAGTAACTCAAAAACGAGGCAAAGGTGTGCAAAAAGAAAGGCTGAAAATGGCCATGTTCATGAACAAATACCACTGGGGAAAGTTTAAATAGAATACTACTAAACAGATTTTATCAGTGAACTGAGAGAGTCGTACCTGGGGTCAGACAGGATTTAGCACTGGGTCTAGAACGGACTTGGTCCAGCCTGCGGGTGAAGCTGGCTCAGCTCTCTCAATCCGTGAGCTGCTGAATTCCCTAGGCCTCTGTTTCCCTACGGGGAAATGTGGCTAACTGTAGGCCTTACCCCAGTGCACTGCTGCGCGGTTTAAATTAGTTGATGTATAGGAAGTGCTTAGAACAGAATCTGGCTAAGTTTTATTCTGTTATTATCTGTCCTGAAACATAAGGCACAAGGCAGAGGTCTGATTTTTTTTCCCCAAATAAAATGACCGATTCATTCTGGCATAATTTATAAAATGATGTTTTGTTTTCTGACTTATTCAAAATAACAGGCCTCACTATATTCTTAATATTAGAACCTTTCCTGGACTGTCTATCCTGTCGTACTTATTTGAAAGTCTGTTCCTGAACCAGTAACATCCTGTGTTATATTGTGTTTTAACAGCTTGCAAAACTGTTCCGTCACTATTGCTTTCTCTGTGCTAACTTGTTCGGTCAATTGGCTCTTTTTTTATTAGCACAGGTTTGTAGTACATGCGGTTGACATTCATCGTGGGGAGTAGCTGTGCGTAAATAACACAGCTGGTTTCTTTTTAACCCCTTACCCTGCCCTTCTGAGTCCCCTCTCCCCATCTTCCTTCTTCGCCGTAATCGTTATTCCTGGCTCACGTTTAGGACACGAGTGCTCCATTCGCCGTGAACGTTCGGCACCTGCACGGAGCGCAGCTCAGATCTTCTCAGCTCCCTGTCCTCCCTCCCCTCATTCCTGGCCCCCCGACCCCCTTCCCATTTGCACCCTTGTTTCTTTCCATCCATCCTTTAGCTGGATCTTTGTTTCTACTTTGCCTTACTCAAATAAGAGATACCACATGCCACCCCTGACTCTTACTATTTTTTTTCTAACAGTAAAAAAGAGGAAAACTACAAATTAGTGTCACTTATGAGTATAACATAAAAAGTTTAACTGGTAGAAAATACCTGGTCAGTACTATAATTTCTTTAAACTTGAAAATTATTTTGGTCATATTTAGCACATTCACTATTCCCCAGGAAAAGTATGCACTTTCCAACTGCTTGAAGTATTCTTTTAATTATTTCAGTATGGTTTAAGTTTTTTTATTTACTATCTTCATTGTTAAATTGATCTGTTGTCATAGTGAAATGAAAGTAGTCATATGTTTTAATGGGTAGTTTTTTTTACATATAGAGAACTTCATATATACTTGTCTTTTTAGGTTCTAGTACGTTTACCCCCTTGAATTTCTGGGTCACAACCATCATGCTGATGGAACCACAGGCTGATACTTAAGAACCACAGCAATGTGCCCGTAGTTTGAACAGACCAGCAGATAAAACTGTCTCTCCTTCATGTACCATTCCATCTCTCTACAGTTTCAGACCAAAGAGTAATTAAGCAATCCACTGTGTTAATAAAAACACACACTGACAGCTGCCTACTAAACTGTAATTCTTGACTTACAAAGGTTAAGTAACTTACACAATTACACAAAGTAAGTAGATGGCAGAGATAAGATTACAAACCAAATAAAACAAACTCTCATCGGTGCTTTAAACCAGAATACCCGAAGCTTCCTGTAAACTTTGAGAACGCAGCATGCGGAAGATAAAATGTGTAATCCTGTAAACATGCATGCTATGTAAAAGGAACTAAATATCCTGTACTTGCTGTTCAGAATTCCTTATGCAACAACCATGAACTCAAGAGCAACTATTATGTCAGCTATTTGCATTTTATAGACAGGATGGGTAAAAGCAATGTATTTTTAGCATCGTGAAAATGGAGGCACGCAAAAGACATTTAAAATAATCTATGACTCATCATCTCTTTCTAAATCCTCTTTATATTCAGCAGAATTTTAGTATAAATTGACAGTGGTGGTATTTTTTATTTTTTCCAAGACTTTTCTCCTTTAATAGTACAGATTGTACAAACTGTAGTTATATAAGCAAAATCATGTCTATTATAACTTTGACTCATAATCTACCAATCAAGGAATATTAACGGATTACTTTCTCCACCCAATCCCCGGAAATACTGACTACCCCGAGAGAAATGATTAGTCACAGACCTGGCTACATCAGTTCTTGCCTCGTGATATATTTGATTTTCGGAAAAAGCCTTCACAATTTACAAATCCACCTTGGAGGAATATCCTGGAGATTTTACCAATTTTGTTAAAAGCAGTAAAACTGATGATGGTGTTGAATGAGACATTTACCATGACACTACAAGTCAAGCCCTTGGAAAAAGTCCTGTGTTCTGCTGACTCCCGGTTTGTTTTTATTTTCTCTGGTCAGGGCACTGTGCCTGCTGTAGGTTTTGTTCTGAAAAGTCAATATCCAAGGGCATATTTTAAATTAATCAAATCTGTTTCTGAGAGATAAGCTAAATTAGTTCTTTAAAAAGCAGATGTGAAATGCAAACGTGTATACTCATGATTGCATTTGGCTTCAAGAAATAGCTGTAAGTGAAATAGCCAAAGTGTATTTAAATGATGACTAAAATTCAGAATCATATTTGAAGCTGAGAAGAAAACTCTTAAAAGAGCATGCATCCTAATTTTCTGTAGTCATGGGTTGTATTCAGTATGTTTCAGATTGTTTTACACATTTCCATCATCATTTAAATTATGAGAGTGGAATTCAGCCAAGTAAATCAGTATTTTTTAAGTACCCTTGTGTACTATGAGCATAGAAAAGTGTTTATAAGATAAGACCAGTCTACCAAGGGAGAAAAATCTGCTGAAGAAGACAGTTAGACACACTTAAGCAGTTATATATAAATAAAAAGGGCTGGGGATTTAGCTTAGCAGTTCGGTCGCCTGCCTTGCAAGCACAAGGACTCGAGTTCAATCCCCAGTATCAATAAATAAATAAAACAACAAACAAATAAATAAACAAAAATATGCGGCCAAGATTAAAAAGTCATGGTTTCCAAGAGCTCTGGGTTATTTGCTTGTCTGTGCTCCCCAGTTTGATCACAGCTTGAGCCTCAGTTCTCTCTGATCTAACCATTACCTGTAGAAACTGCCTGTGGCGACTGCTGCACCAGAAAGAGATCGCCATATTCCCGAGATTCCAGACATTTTCCAACACATTAGCATATGAGCAAGTCTTAGCAACCTAGAAAGAGAGAAGTGCCTCAGTGAGAATAAGGGTGGGGTGTGGAGACATTTCAATGGGTGGCACATTCCCCTCTGGGGATTCTATAAAAACACTGATTTCTTTTCTTTGGTACAGGGATCAAACTCAGGGCGTTGCAATTGGGAGGCAGGCAGCAGCACCACTGAGCTAAACCCCTGACCCCTAACCTGAAGGTTTCTAGACTGCAGCTTCCCTGGAGGTAGAGAATTTTTATGTCGATTGCCCTCCAAAGTATTTAGCACACACAAGACACTCAATATTCCCTGCTTGCTTGATTTTCTAAAGATGAATAAATAAGCGAACATGTCTTTCTTTATAAGTACTAAAATACAAGATTAATTAGCACAGTACCAGTTTGGATAAAGGACCCAAATAAGCAAAAGCTTAGATTTAAATCAATCTATAAGCTATTTCCAATATTCGCCTTTGATATTATCCACAACATACAGCAACTAACTGTTAAGTGCCAGAGCAATGATGTATTCTTTTGGTGTCTTTGTGGTATTCTTTTGGCTTCATAGCTATAAATATGGGGATATTTAGTAAAGATTATTCTAAATAAGGAAAGATCTGCTGATTTAAGAGCGGAAAGGCTTCAACTTCCAGCCTTCTCCTAAGGTGTCTACTTGACATCACTGCTATTTAAGGTTTCATTTCTAAAGCTGCAGTCTCTGATCTATTAAACTTGTGGTTGGCAATCAAATAAATATGGTCATAAAATATTCCTGTAACATTACTTGTAAATTTCAATATTCTCACTATTGAATAATGACAGGAGTCCCTGATGGGAGAATTACCCACATCCTGCTCATGGAAAAGTCTTTAGAGTCTGAACTAAGACTACATTCTCATTTATCAAGTGAAAATCAGAGATCAGTTAACAGTTGCTGATGCCCAGAGATTCCCAAGGCAGTCAGGTGAAGATAGATAAGTCCTCCTTGATCAAACAATGCATCAAAAGCCTTTTTTTTTGCAGCTGCATCTGAGCAGCAAGTCCAAGCTCTCCCTTCACAATCAAATAGCCCTTACATGTAAACCTGGCCAGTGCCACTGTGGCTGATCCAGCACCACAGAAAAAAATGACAGCAATTGCTCACCTGGAAGCCTGGCCATTTTGAGCGAGTGTCATTACAGGAACCATTTTGCAGAGGTTGCTATGGTTTCCGGGCTGCACTTCCTCCTCTCTCTATAGTTGGATGGTTTTAGTTAATCAGTGGTAAGTCAGACTGTAATCATTTTCTCTTCAGAGAGCACAAAAAAAGAGAACAGCCCCGAAGTCTCCCACATTGTCATTACAGACAGTTATCTTTCGACTACAAAAGACAGGCATGCTTTTTCTTCTAAATGCAGAGCAGAAAAGAAAAGTTAAGAGAAAATTTAAATCCCTTCCCAGTCCAGAGGTTTACCCTTCAGAGAATTTTCAGAAAGGCCATTGACCTGAGTGATTCCTCTAGAATATTTTTATAAGGATACTCATCCAAGAAGGATGTGCGGAAGAATTAACCCATGTCCTGAAAGAAACTTGGCATTTTATTGCCTCTACAAATGTCCATGTGTTGAAATACCACAGTGAGAGATTAATATTACTCTACCTAATATCTGTAATAAAACTCCAGGTTTCTACAAAGTTTATTTATGCATTTCTGAAGCACAAATAAAATGAAAAAGAATCCTATGAAGAAAGCAGAGAAATACAGACTATCACAAGTAAAACCATTTTTTAATAAAGCCTGGCAGCCTCTCAGAAAGCCAAGTATTCAAGATTGGCACCACATTCCTTTCTAGGTACAGGAGTCGATTTAGGATGACTGCAGAATGCTGTCACATGGCTGGTGTGTTTAGTAAATCTAACATTTGGGCCAGATATTGACATGAAGACCAACAAGACACAAATGCAGGCCCCGTTTATAATGGGTGACCTGTTCCTCACTCAGGAAACCGGAAAAGCGCATGCAAAGTCACAAGCAGCATAGGTCTTGGACGCTATCGTGGACTTCTCAGTGCCACAGGGGAGCTCGGTGGGGCTTACGAAGGAGGAAGGAGCCTTGTGTCTTGAGGAACTTCACTTTTCTTCCTAGAAATCATCAAACACTGAGTGATTTAGACAATCTTAGAAAACAATTTCTTCAGTCAATTTTCTTTCTAAATTTTATAAGCAGCAGTTAAGGTCAGAGATCAGCTGATTTGTATGAACAAGACAAGTCATTCTCAATTGTTTTGACTTGAAAGCATGTGTTTAATTCATCCTATACGATTTTAGTTCATATTTTAAAATAGGCTCAGATCTGGGGATATAGTTCATATTTATATGCAAAAACCTGGGTTTGATCCCCATCATCACAAAAAATTAAAATTAAAAATAGAAAGATAATGAGGAAATTCAGATTTCTCATCAAATTCCAAAGTGTGTTATTGATGATAATGTCTCATCTATTTCTGGCATTATTAGATCTCAAGTTTTCTATCTACTTATTGATACATTTTCTGTACAATGGCTTCAAACAATAAATGTGGTTTACAGATTCCCTAGGTATTACTCTCCTAGATTATCAATTTGGAAATGATGGAGAAAAAAAATTCGGCATGTGTTATATACCCGTACGGAAAGAAAGTTTTCTTCATTGACTGAGAAATGACTTGGTTGTCATTTATAGCCAGGTATTTCGATTTTGTTGCTCTTCTGTTAAGACATTCCCCAGAGGTATGTGTTATAGGGAATGACCTTATATTTTATTTTTGAGCATATCAGTTTAGGAATAGTCTACAATCTCTCAAGAGTTACACTTTTAAAAAACATCTCATCACTGTGTCCTTGCATGCAGTGTCTAACATCCAAAGGGCTGTGAAACCCATCAAATACTACAAGATTAATAAAATTCAGACATTACTACTTCAAGAAAGCAGATTAATTTAGAAACAGGGCGCTATTGGCTTCAGTTGTTTCCCTTACATTCAGAAGGCTGCGGCGCTGGTGACTTCTGTTTGGCAATATGGCGTGTATCCCTGCCTTGTGTGTGAAAACAGGGTTTCCTTCCTCGGTTTGTCAGGCAAGTGAGCTCTCGCGAGGCTTTGCAGAGGTGAGATTCTGCTCCCAGCGGCTGACTTCCTTACTTGTTAAAACCTCGCCACTCTTCCAACGGAGAATTAACTTGAGCTGTACACAGAGTCCCACAGAAGAGCCTACCAGTTGTTCACTTTTACGTCTGCATTCTTTTCAGCACCACTGATGAAAATACATAGTGTTCACCATAAGCTCAAGCTCACTTTGTGAAACATTAATTTATGCATTTTTTTGTGCGTACACCTTGAAAACAGCACAAGAAAGTACCTCTTCCCAAGGAACTACAGATGGTAAAAATCGTTCACACTTCTGCTTGGAATGTTTTTATAATATCTTTGAGACTCATTTCATTAATACTTACTGCTTTTATTTGCTTATAAAAATGTGGTTATTATAGAATACTTGAAAGATATAGAAAAATCATAAAATGAACATTAAAACTGATCTATATAAAAACCATTAAAAATTATTACTATTAATGAATGTTGTATTTTCTTTTTTTTCTCATTGAGTTTATTGGTACATTTTAGGTATGCAGTACAGTTACATTCATCATTGGGATCTTGTACCTTTACAGGACAGGTCTTGGTTCTCATTTTTTCCCCTTATCGCTGCCCTCCCTTCAGCCCCTCCTCCCTTCCCTATTTACAAATACTTTATTTCCAGTTTTTCATTTTCTCATATTTTTTCTTTTCCCTTATTTCTCTTCCCCTACCCTTCCCACTTCCCCTACACCTTTAGCCCTTTTCTTCCTATTTCACACTGTCAATTATACCATTAGGATCTTATGTAGCATGTTGTATTTTCTTTGAAATTTTATACACTGATATACATATCTATATAGACAAACAGCATAAACGGTTGCAATGTATATGATTGTATGTCTCTTCACACTGGCGAGGGTGAGCTCCTGCCCTCAGGATCTCCATCTGTGACTGTCTGACAGGATGTGCTTTTATGTTTTGCCCTGGTGATGCTGCACCACTCACTGCAGAGCTGCATACAAAGCCATTTACATCCAGATGGCCTCGAATGGGAACCGTTCCTGGCTTTCTGGTTTGTACATTTGGCTAATTATCTCACCTCTCCTGCTTGCAGCCACTCCACCCAGCTCTCTGCTGCACTGCCTTTCTGGTATTTAAAAAACCTTTCACTTGAGCCGTTTCAGAGCTGTCCTTTTCATCAGAATGCAGCATCTTCTATCACCTTTAATTACTCAGCTGTTTGAGAATATCAAGGTTCTCTTTCGCCAAAAAGAAAACAAAAATAAATGGACTCCCTTTCCTGTGGAAAAAAATCTCTGATCAGTATAGGTAATGTCTTTCTCCTGAGACTTTCAAAGACTCGTAGGGATGTGGGGAATGAGAGCTACTGAATTCTCAAGAGAAAGCGCTTGAATTGTGAGGCCACTGAGCACAGTTTGTTACACCACCAACAGCCCTTCATTGAGGGAAGTGGTTAGAGCGTTACACGCTGTCTTTGGTTCATGTAACTGTGCCTGTAGAAAATCCAATATTTTTATAATGATTTGACTAAGTGTAATAAAATATTGCTAACTAGTTCATGTGTAACATTTATAGCCAAATTACTTACAATAAATATGTGGATTTATTAATAACAAATGAAAAATAGTATAAGTTTTCTAAATTACCTTCTTCTAGTTGAATAGGGTCATAGACAGTAATGCTCACTGAAATTCTCCATAAAACTACATTTTTTTAGGCCTAATACCATGAAACATAGTAGCATGCAGGTATAAACATTATTTAAAGTGTTTCTTGATTTGTTACCTGTAAATTTGTAAGCATTACAACCTGTGATAAGAAAAGCAATGTTTTAATCTTTTAATAATTTATAACATTATTTTATATGCATGATCGGTCAATACAGTGATGGCAGAATTCTAGAATAATTTTGGATGATACTTTGATAGTTCTTCATGTCTGACAGGAAATAATAGCAAAATTCAACCAGTAGTCAGCAATACTGATCCCTTTGCTTTGATGCATTTGCACCCCTGCCTTCAGTCATCTCTTCTATTACTCTGTAAGCCTATATCATCCATGAACTCATTATATCTATCAACTGATCTTCAATAGAACTGCCAAGAATCTGGAAGGGCAAAAACATAGCCTCTTTAATAAATGCTGTTGGGAAAAATGCATATCAATATTCAAAAGAATTAAGTTGGGGCTTTATTTTAAACCATATACTAAAATCAACTCAAAATGCACTAAAGGCTTAAACATAAGTCCTGAAACAATAAAACTCCTAGAAGAAAATATAAGGTAAAACTTCTTGATATTGGCTTTGGCAATGATTTCTTGGCTACAACACCAAAATGCAAGCAACAAAAGTAAAGTGAATAAGTGGATTATATTAAACTAAATAGTTTCTGCACAGCAAAGGAAACAGTCAACAAAATGAAAAGAAAACCTATGGAATGGGAGAAAATATTTGCAAACCATATACCTGATAAAGGACTAATACATACAACATATGAGGAACTCCTACAACTAATTAGCAAGAAAACAACTCAATTAAAAAATGGGTAAAGGAACTGAATAGACATTTCTCCAAGGAATGCATACAAACAGCCAGTAGGTATACAAAAAGGTACTAAGCAACACTTAATTATCAGCAAATTACAAGTCAAAGTTACAATGAGATGTCACTTCATATCTGTTAGGATGGCTTTTATCAAAACAGTGAACGATAACAAATGTTGATGAGGATGAAGAGAAAAGAGAAATCTTGTACACTGTTGGTGGGGATACAAATTTGTGCATTCACTATGGAAAACAAAAAAATAGAACAAATATTTGATCCTGAAATCCTAATTTTTAGTGTAGTTTGAAAGGCACTGGTATCAGAATTTAGTAGAGATGTTAGCATTCCCATGCTCATTAGCAATATTCATGGTAGCTAAGACATTGAAGCAACCTAAATGTCCTTCATGAATGAATAGATGGGAAAATGTGGGCTATAGTTATAATAGGATATATCTGGCCCTAAAAGAAAAGGAAATTCTGCTATTTGGGAAAACATAGATGAATCTAGAAAATATTATGGTAAGTGAAATAAGCCCAACACAGAAGAACAAAGACTTTGTGATGCTACTTATATGATGAATCTAAAATAATCAAGCTCATAAAAACAGAGGGTAGAATGGTGGTTTCAAAGGGATAAAAGGGATAAATAGGGACATATCAGTCAAATAGTAAAATGTTCATCTTATGCAAGAAGAAAAAGTTTTAAAGCTTTACAACATAGTGCCTGTATTTCACAATGTTGTATTATATACGTGAAAATTTACTAAGAAGGTAGATCTTATATTACATGTTCATATTAACAAAAATAAAAATAAAAAACTAATAAAGAGGGAAGGACAAAACTTTTGGAAGTAATGGATAGGTTAATGACATAAATGATGATGGTTTCATAGGTGTATATTTATCCCTAAACTCAAATTTTAGATCTTAAATGTGTATAGCTTTTTAATCTATCAATTATACCACATATATTAGTCACCTTTCTTGTTGTTGGGACAAAATACTCAGTGTCCACAAATTAAGGGAGGCAAGGTTTATTTCATCTCACAGTTAGTGAAGGTTTCAGTTCATAGTTGACTGGCTCCAAGGCAGCGTGGCCTAACACGGGAGTATCAGAGAGGGGAAACAGTTCATGGTATGACAAGCAGCAGGCAGCATCCTGACTTTCTTCTGTCCTTTTCTATTCATTCCATCCAGGCTATAAGCCTATTGACTGGTGTCACCCACACACAGAACTATGCTAAACCCAGTTAGTTAACCCACAGCCATGACCCAGTCACCTCCCAGAAGCCCCATGTATGAGCACATGAGGCTTTGTGAGGACATCTGGATATAAGCCATAACATCAATAAGCTGATTTCAAAGAGACACCTCTAAAACAAAATCTAGAACTAAAAAAAAAAACCCCAAAACAGATATAACTGAAAAAGATTAACAAAACTCTACAGCAATCACATACAACAAAATTAAGGCAAAAGCATTATAATATGAGTACCATTATATAATGGCAAACAGTTGAATTCACCAGGAAAATTAGTAGTTCTAAATTTGTATATACTAATTAATGTGATTTCAATATCTGTAATGAGAAAAATAAAGAGCCAATATAACAGTTATTGGCAGGGCCGGGGATTTAGCTCAGCGGTTCGGTGGCCTGCCTCGCAAGTGCAAGGACCCGAGTCCGATCCCCAGTACCAAAAAAAAAAAAAAAAAAAAAAGGAGTTATTGGCACATCTTTCAGTAATTGATGAATTACTTTAGTAAATATATAAAATATTATATAAAATTAGCAAGTTTAAAAACATATACACAATGTTGCAAGCAATATTTGGAGTACTCATCTATTAAAATTGCTCATGCATTAGTCCATAAAATAAGTGTCAACATATTTAATAAACTGATATTACATAGACATTGGGTTTTTGTTTGTTTGTTTTTTGGTACCAGGGATCAAACTCGGGACCTTGTCCTTTCAAGGCTGGTAGCAGCACCACTGAGCTAAATTCCCAGCCCCAGACATTGTTTTATAAGCATAATTTAATCACCCTAGAATTCAGTAAAAATATAACTTGAAGAACATCTACCCATCTTGGCACTTAAAAATTCATATACTTCTTAATAATTTAAAAATAAATCAAACAAATATAAACATTTTAAGTTAAATTATTCCAGAAAATGGGATTTGCAGAAAGGAGCTAAAGTGTTAATTCCAGTGAAACTTATACCTTAAAATGCACTAATAGAAAAGAAGAATGGCCAAAAATTATTAAGATGCAAAACAATATTAGAAAGTAATAGAGAAAAATAGAATAAAGTCAAGGAAAGTGGTATAGAAATCAGAGGGATAGAGACAGAAATTAGTAATCAGAGAAGACAGAATTAACAGTTAAATATTAGTTCTTTGAAAAGATGGACATAACTAACAAGGCTGTCCAAAGAACCACCATCACCATCATGTATAGGAAGTAGGAAACAATAGTATGGCTGAAAATAGATACATTAGATACATTTGAGTTTGAAGAAAAGAGAGGCTCT